GTTACCTGGGTCAAGGTGTGTGAATGTGCCAATGACAAAGTCCAGGGTAGAGATGGCCAGAACAGCCAGGAGGAGCAGCTGAAGTCTGACAATCCACTTGACACCAGCCAAGTTGATTCCAAGCAGACCTAGCAGCACTGCTGCTGACATGCAGCGCACCGCCCACTGAGTCTGAAGACCCAGCAGTTCTGCCACTGACTCGGAGAACCCCGTGATGTACATCGCCCCAGCGACGCACTGCAGAGTGGTAGAGAGCATTAATAGTGACACGAGATAGAAGGAAGGAAATTCAGTTTGTGCATTCCATGATTTTCTTAAGGGATAAAATATTACAAACAAACAATTTTAGCGGTGTTCAAATTCACTCACCTGCCCAAACACATAAAGGAGGCCAACAGTGCCCCCGACCCTTCCCCCTAGGATGGTAGAGATCATGGAGTAGATTCCTCCACTCCCAACACCACAGTGTTCAGACACTCCGATTCCTGACATAACTGTCACTAAAGCAACCAACACAACCATGGAGACGAGAACCATCCCAAGCAGCACTCCTGTGTTCCCCTGGATAATGTTAGGAAACAGCAAAGATCCAAAGTACAGAGTGATCACTGCACAAACTACACCACAATATGCATCTGCAGTTGTGAACTGGATATATTTTGGGCCAATATACCACCTGTATTGTACACATCTTCTGCACATGACATCCTGCTCTGTTTAGTGCTTTGTCTTCAGTTCATTTAAATAATCCTATCTTCACCATTCTCTTGCATTTTTTTAATCACTCCTCTTTTCTCCTCCTTGTATTTGTTTACAATTTTCTATCTAATAGAAAAAAAGAGACATGCAGATGCTATACAGGTGTGGTGGACCAGCACTTTTTTTTTTTTATTTGCTCAGACATTTCTGATAAGATGCGTCTCTCTCTGAAAGAGAAACCCTGTTTTCCACACAGCAAACTATATTTTAGCTGTCAAGCTAAGGCCAAACGGATGTAGCAATTACAATCACTGGGTCTCTTTGTAGCTGTGTCCTGTGATGACACATGGCTATTACAGTGTTCTGGATCAATTGTCATGATGACACATACTTAACTATATGTGAAGCTAAAAACTGTGCTAAAAAATGTGGATGAGCTGAAAGCAGAAAGCCAAACATGAAGCTAAGCCATTATGAAGTATAAAAATGAAAACATACAAAATAAAATTTGGTGATTAGTGATTTCTTTTTGATTCTTTAGTCTGCTACTACAGTGCTGTGAAAAGTATTTACCCTCTTCCTAGATGTCTGTGTTTTGCATACTTGTCACACTTAAATGTTTCACATAATCAGATAAATTGTAATAATAGACAGTGGTAACTGGATCATTATGGCATAATCTTTGGCATAATCTAAAGAAACTCAAGAATGGATGAGAAACCAAGTCACTGACATCTGTAAGTCTTATGGAGTGAATTTGGGACTCCAGTGGAACCACCGTCAAAGCAATTATCCACAAAGACAGATAATTTGGATATTTGGATCAGTGGTATACCATGTCAGGAGGGGCCAGCTGACCACAATTAGTCTAAGAGAGCATCGATGACTCATCCAGGAGGTCACAAAAGAACCCAGAACAACATTTAAAGAACTGCCTCACTTGCCTCTGTTAAGGTCAATAAGAAAAAAACTGGGCAAAAAAAATGGCATCCATGAAGAGTTCCAAGGAGAAAACCATAGCCGAGCAATAAAACCACAAAGGCTCGTCTCATGTTTGCCAGAAAAAATCTTGATGGAAAAATATTCTGCGGACTGATAAGACAAAAGCAGAACTCTTTGGAAGGCTTGAGTCCTGTTACATCTGATGTCAAACTAACACAGCATTTCATAAAAACAACCTCATACCAACAGTCAAACATAGTGGTGGTAGTGTGATTCATGCTTTAGCATGTCCGGTCATGCTTAAAAACATTCAGGGCAGCTGAATTAAAACAATTCCTCCGTAGTGATGCCAAAGACTTATTGCCAGTTAACACAAATGCTTGATTACAGTTCTTGCTACCAAGGATGGCACAACCAGTTATTAGGTTTAGGGGAAATTACTTTATCACAAAGGGCCATGAGGAAAAAAAACCTTAAGAACTGCACTTATTTTCACCCAGGTATTTTGTCTGAGCTGAAATATTTAAACATGACAAATACGCAAAAATAAGAAATCAAGAAGTGAAAAATCCTTTTCCACTGCAGTGTATCCACCATGCACGGTAATTAGACTCATATTTAAAGCCCCATTATGGCAGTTGCATTTAACAGAATTCAGCCTTTTAGCATCTTATTAGCGTGGGGAGAGTTTAAAGTGGATTAGATGTTCTATTACCTACAATACACAAAGTGAAAGACAGTCTGTTTACTAACCACCAGGTAGCCAGTACGCAGGAACAGAACCACACCAAAGATGTTGATCATGCAGGTGGTGAAGACTCCATCCCAGGTGCCAAAAAGCACCGGCTCCCACACAAATACTTTGATCCTCCACCATGGCTGATTAGACTGCTGAAAACCCTAAACACAGAAATACAACCGTAGCAGCACTGGCTTATCTGAAGTCACTTTAACAACAGCCTGCAATGATCCTACAAATTGTTTCATTTGAGCTGACACACTGAACATCTTGCCTTTGCATCTTCATGGAACAGATCTTGAATATGTGTGTTTGCTTTAGTATCATCAGATTCTCCCTTCAACAGGCCTGTCTCAGCTCTTTCCTGCTCACAGGTGTACACCGTCCAACCGACTGGCAGGGTTTCCATTGCAGCCTGGAGAGTTACAGTGTTTATATTTACAGGCTGGATGTAAAACAACAAAATAAAATCTGCATTTTAATATTGAAAAACTTTTTTGATCACATACTACTAGATTCACTCTAAAAGACATATAGTGTACCAAAATAATGGTCTTAGTGAGTTATTGGATGCTAGAGGTACAGTGCTTAACAAATGTATTACATCACCACCCAATGTAAGGTCTGTGCCCTAAAATAACAATATTGGTAAGAACCAAAAATCAGTTTCAATAATGGTTAACCCATCCGCATTTTTAAAGCTAAAATATCATTATAATGCTATCTATGAGTTTTGAAATTTACAAATTTTCCAACTTACAGTTAATTCCCGGCACTCCTGAATAAAAAAAAAAGTTTTAGAGGTTTAAAGTCCAGGATTTCACATCTGAGGGAAAAAAAAGTCAATACAGTTTGTTTTAAATAACAATATATTTTTAAATTTAAACACGTTTGTGACAGATTTGTCAAATATTCTAATTTATATTTTAGAACATTTCTGTCTTAAACGTGTATTTTATAAGAAGTAATCCCCCGAGAAGACAAAAAACCCACCCCGAAACAGAAAATACCCCCAAACATATTTTACATAATACTATCATGTATATGATTTTTCCTCGGCAAATATCGTAAAGTGTAGACTTCAAACTAGAAAAAGGAATAAGAGGATAAAATATGTATAATATCCCAATTAAAACATCCGATAAAACTTGATTTCCTTCTTACTTACTAGTCTAATACATTTCCGTTCAGAAACTACTGAGAAATTGAAATATCACAGCATGTTACTGGGTAATTCTGGCATGCCGCATTCAAAACACTCATAATTGTGAAGATATATAATCTATGATTGGAGCATACGGTTTTTCCTGGCATAGTAAACAGTACGGTAGCACAGGCATTTGTAGCGGTCGTCTTGGAAAGAATAGCACTGTTTATCCTGGTTAAACAGCAACAGGTGCAGCTTGAGGACACCCGGATGCAGCAGGGTGTGCTCCTCTGCGATGCGACAAACAGTAAATAGTTGTTAGCGTCACTGCTTTTACCTCAGAGGCTTCTGTTTCCAGATAAATAAACGAAGAATTATAACAAACATGTGAATTCATTGTTTCCTAGTTAGAAAACAAAATGTTGAAATGAATGATAACAATAATAATAGTTATGTTTATGGAAAGACAGCATATCAGAAAGTGTAATCAATTTCAAAATAAGCTCCTGGTGATATACGCTATTATGAAAACCGAGATGTGCTCTAGTCTTAAAATTGGCAGTTTTCTCAATAGAGTTTGGTGTGAGTGGCGGTCTTCTTTCAAACAGCTTCTTAGCTAGATTAACTCAGCGACACCTTACCTTTCACAATCTCATTTCATCCACTGCTTGTAATTTTTTTTTAAAAATTAAAGAAAAAATAAATCCATTCCACTTTCCCACTTTTCTTTAAATCCTCTCAGTATTACAACGTGTTCGTCATATGGATACGTCAGCTGCCAGCAGGCAACTTAGGCATGCGGTTACTGCTCACCTTTCCGGGATGTGTTGGAGCATTTGCACAAGGATCTCGTGTTTGCTTTGGCAAGTCCTGCAGCAGGTAATGCTAGTAATGATTAGCTGAAAAATGCATCCACATGGATTTGATCCTTTTTATGGAGTTATTTCCTGAAACACGTTTGAATTTCAGACTGTGGGGATGTTTTCTGAGTCTTATTCCAGTCAATAAGTTACCAATCAGATCAGAAAACACATCAGTCTAAACGCATATTCAAAAATAAATAAATAAGAGAAAACAAAACTTGGAAGAGTTTCCCTGTACAATGACACAATGAAAATATTTTACATTTTCACGATTTAAGATGATTATGCCAAGCATTGGTATGGCCATCTTTCATCACAGTCTGAACTCTCTTAGGCAAACTTTGTTGTAATTTCTTTTAATAACCTTCAGGAATAGTTCTCTGGGATTCTTAAAGGACATTAAACGCTCTTTTTGGATGTTGGCTGGCTCTCTGTGATCTGAGGAGGCCAGTCCGATTTGTCATCCAAGTATTCTTTTACTGCATGAAGACTGTGTTTTGGATCATTGCCATGGGGAGAAATAAAGTCATTACCAATCAGCTGTTTCCCATTAAAGATCAAAGTCCCCACTGGCTGAAATCCTGCCAGGGCAGAGACTCCATTGCATCTCACAGATGGCTATATACACTGTTTTACCTTTCTCCTGGCCCTCTCTACACATACTGACGATGATTTGAACCAAAAATTGAATATCTGGGTTCATCACTACATCACCCTTTCCCTCCAGTTTCCTCTTCCTTAAAAAATGGCTTCCTGACAACCACCCTTCCACCGAGACAATGTCTAATGAGACCTCAGTGAACAACTGAAATTCAGCTGAAGGACCAGATGAATCTCTCAGATCTTTTCTGGATCCCATATTTTAAGGAATAACATTCTTGCTGTTTTTTATGCCTGTCTGTGTTAGCTTTGGGCTTTTTAGTAGATTCGGCTAAAGAAATGTTTTTGGGACAGACTGCTAATTGCCTAAGTATACAATTTAAACACTTCTTTGCTCAGTTTTCTGTTATATGTAGACACAACACTGGTTCATCCTTTGAGTTAGGTGCCTTTTTATGCTTAAATAGAGTATAAAAGTAGAGCTATGTCCAGAGAACTTTCAGAAAGTCTGGAGAACACCCGCTAAACACCACTTTGAAAATTACAAGAAAGACAGGCTAAATGGAAGCAAAATATAACGAAATGAGGGGTAGCTGAAGGTTTTCCCACAGGACTGTATGGTAGCAGGAAAGCACAGGTGTATTTGATAGCTGCATTTCACGTGGGGGGAGGTCCTGTTGTTGTGCATGCTGGTTGACCTTCATGGTTTACTGGGCTGTGATAAAGGCTTACAGTACTTGGACAAACAGTTTGTCAGAAAATTAAGACAGAACTATTCTGATATCCGTTTTTCCACATATTTTTCCACGATAAACCTCAACAGTTCTTTTTCCAACGCTCTCCAATGTGAGAATTCTATGCTTTGCACTTTTATATCACTGTAAACTGAATATATCTTCAAGTTTTGGACCTGCTGAAAAAGATGTCACCGTGTACCACGATATGGTGAAAGATTTTCAATTTGTTACTGTACGAGTGTGTACCTATGAAAACAGTCTTCTGCAGCACTTCTACTCTCCTCGAATTCCCCTAACACACCATAACAAATATCCCAGCGTCTCTTTATGTCTTTTCTGGCTGCTTTCCATCAGGAAACACATTTACCCACCCACACTCGGTTTCACCAGCAGCTGCACGCCTTCTGTACATCAACAACAATTCAAGATCACATGCTGTGAATTATTTATTTATAAGGACATGACACACAACAATCAAAAACAATTTAATCAGATTGCTTACAAATCATTGTATATTGCAAAAGTCTAATCATATGGGTTACTTGACTGAAAATAATCAGCTACAATTAAAGCTGCACATTATCCATAAAACAAGTTCACTTGACCCAACAAGTCAGAGACCATGCAGAATAAACCTAACGTAAGACCAACCTTACTGTGAATCAAATTCTTTAAAATCAAGAAAAAATTCAGATTCCCATCTGTATTTGAAAAACCTTGACACAAACGACTTATACAGAGATAAATGAGGGTAGCGAGAATGACTGCATATGATATACTGTACATATCAGTGCTTTAAATGACGTTTCAAAAATAGCTTTTTATCAAAAAATTCTGATCTTTTTACACACACACACACACACGCACACGAATGAGATTTCTCTAGCTTATACAAGGACACTTATGGTCAGGTTACTGACAATAGTTAATTAAAAGGAAATATTCATCGTACTGCTCACATACTTCATTAATTTCCAATAGGTTTCCACTTTAACTGAATTCAAAATTCAAAGAACTAAATGGGGTACAATTTACAAAACCATCGTTTCTATCTGCACTGTGCTTTTAAAGATTGCTTACAATTAAAAAAAAAAGGGCAGCTAGTGAGGTATTTCAACCACACTAACTTTTAAGTGATATTTTAACACAAATTCAAGACTCTAATAGCTGTTGAATGGAGGATTGTTTCCACCACTAAGAACATTTTTCTTTTACTTTAAATATGTTGAAAAGGAATTTTATTTTAATATATCATACGGATGATAGTTATACAGTAAAACCCATCATAATGAACATTCACAAAAATCTAAATTCACTTTGATCAATCACCAATTAAACTGAAAATATAATATTGATACAGTGGTGAGATTTCTGCAAAAGCCACATTTTCTCAGGAAGATGGACCGTTTCATTATTGAATCTCATAAATGCTTAAAAACAAATTAACTTGCCAAATTCACTGACAAAAGTGTTTCTTGCACACGCCTTGTCTTTCTATGGACCAAAATAAAACCTAACAGTACTTCTCAGAGCATAAAAATATACAATGTATTTACAGCAGGATATCTTCTATACATTCTAGAGGGAATGATCATTGAGGAAGAATAAAGTATTCGATGATTAACGTGGTTCTGTGTGTCCCTGATTGTCAGAGGAGCTGTAACAAGAGGGAGCTCAACATTGGTTTCAAACCTAAACTGGATGGTGCACGAAAAACAAAAAGATAAAAACATCGTTTAACACAATAGCACCTAAGACGTGAACGACAATCAACAGTGTAATGAAGTACAGAAAAGACTTAACTCATTGCCACTCCCGTTTAAAACTGCATGGTTTCAACAAGGCCCGTACAGATGAGTCTGACCAGAAAATTCCAGCAAATGAGTGATTATCAGCAAATCTAGACATCTACAACTTAAATCTGCACTTACACACATACTGGAGAAGAGTCCATGACACGTTAACTCCTCCCAACTACAGATAATATGTTGATTATTAAGTTTGGTGATATGTCTCTGCTAAAATTTTAAAAATAATACAATATTAAAAGGCAAAACTAAATAAAGCTCCCAGTTCTTAACGTATGAAGGTGTGAACACGTTGATAGCTTATGTGCTTGTCTGTATTGTGCAAGTGGAACTAGTAGCCTTAGAGCGTAGACCAAGTAGAAATAAATGCATTGTGCAGGAATGACTAAAGGAAATTGTAATATTTCTTTTAAAAGAAGGCACAAAATAATAAACTGCTCATTTTAATCAAATTCTCTTGAATACAAGGGATCATGAACTTTAATTTTGTTTCCCTTATAAGAGCTACGTCCTTTTAAGTGATCAAAGAAAAAGTGAATTAGTTTGAATTTCTACTTAAACTAATTAAGTGGTTAGTCTCACTAATCTCTTAACAAAAAGTGACTTATACATACTGTGATAATCTAATATAAATGTACACGTGTAAAACGTCCAAACTGTGTGAACACAAAGCACAACCCTGAATCTTTATGCATTTTAACAACAGAAGCTAAGAATGATCCTGCAACCATTAAATGTGTGCAGCTATTTGACGGCCAAAACTTTTTTGTTTGGGGGAGAGGGGGGCATGGAGGAAAAACAAAACAAAACCCCAAAGCATTTCCCAAATAGTGCAGTCAGTCTATCCTGCACGAGTCATGTTTGTAAAATCAGTGACCAGAAATCCAACCATTCCAAAAGGGAATACATTAATTCACATGATGTTAAATTTAATTTCATATACCTATTATTCAAATCTGCAAAATGGATAGTGAGCTCGATCCCAGGTAACACAAACACAATCAGTCAAATCTATCCTGTACCGTTCATTACACACATCCTGCAGAAATACCCTTAATAGGTAACACAATTTTGTGTCACCGTGCATGTCAGCAGACAGTTTAACCGCTGGAATAAAGAAAAAAGCTCTAAGTGATATTTTTTGAAAAAAAACTAAACAAAGAGCAAGGGGAAGTAGCTAAAGCAAAAAAAAAATAATTTAAAAAAAAAAAAAATCTACCACCACCATGGGGGAAGGGGGCATGATTTTCGGGAGCAGGACAAACTTATGTGGCCCCAATTCATTTCAGCTCAGTTGAATCACAGATTTTGATCTTCACATGCAGAAAAAAATTAACGCGCTCATAAGGAAAAAGTATCAATAACAGTAGGTTTGTGCAGCTCTGGACCACCCAACCCCCAGTGCAGTTGAAAAACTCAGGGGGGGAGTGTACATAGATGCAAACTACATTTTAATAAGTCTAAATATTGCATTAAGCAGCAAGTGTGACTTGATCGTTAAGTGTGCAAGGCAAAATGATTGACACAAACATTAAAAATAATGGCAATGGAATTAGAGAATATTAATCTCCTGCATTACACTTTGGTCGCTTAATCTCATAATGTACATTCTGGAGGAAGTTTGACTTTTTTTCCAAAAGGGGAAATGCTAATTATAGTATGATTATCATTTTTCAGTATTCCTATTTAAGAAGTTTAGAACGTAAAAGCACAAAATTATAACTGCTTTACACAAAGAAAAAAAAAGAAAAAAAGAAAGACCCCTCGTTTGCAGTGGGATTTGATTTGGCAAAAACACAGGAAAGACGAGATAAAGTGCCACAGAAATGATGAACAGAAATGAACGCTCCCGCCTCCATTTCTTCAGCCAAACGATTCACTGGTCGAAACGTCAGGGGATGAGTTCAGTTGAGACCTGGTCTCAGTGACTCGGACTAAAGGGAACTCTGAGAATTCTGTGCTGTGTCCTCGAACACTCACTTGTCCGTTGGCAACCGTAAACTGCGAGGAGGCTGCAGATCTTGACGTCTGGAAATGAGATTTGAAGTTCTGTTCAAAGGAGCTTATTTGAAAAGTCTGTAGTATCCCTTGTGAAGAGTCAGTCTTTTTTGAGGGCGAGACCTGCTCCAGAAAGTCCTCCTCAGCTGGGGACACCGCAGAGGGAGGGGTGGTCTCGTCGCCTGAAAAGGAAAACGAGTGCTGGGAGTCCCCGACCAGCAACCCATAGTGAGGTTTCTCTAAGGTGGACCTTAGTGGAGAGCTCATCCCTGATTTGAACCTGCTGGGGGAAGGAAACTGTTTCTCTGTGGAGAACAGAGGCTGTCCAGCTAGTGTGGGGTTTTCAGAGACCAAGCTGAGGCTCTGGCTGGTCAGGTAGCTGTCATTCTGACTGGTCCTCTCCAGTGCTTGCTGGAGAAATTTGGAGTATTCTTGCAAGAGACTCACTTTCTCTGCAGGCGGCTGAGCCTGAGCGCTGGATGTTCCGAGGCTCTCGACCGGACTGCTGTCAGAAACATCGGAGGAATTGATAGATATACTTGAGGTAACCTCTGTGTCAGCCACACTGAAAGAAATGTCTGATTGCCCATTGGCTTTGTTGGAGTAGTGGTCCAACAGTGTCTGAAGAACCTCATCAGGCAAAACATTCTTGTCATGAGGAGTCTTAATCTCTGTGTTCATGGGTTGGGGCTCCAGGATGGTGGCGGGAACAGTTTCGTCGATGACTGTTGACACCACAGTTTGTGTAACAGGTGGCTGAGAGGAGATGCTGCTCGTGTTCAGGACATAATCCCGGCTGTTGTTAGCCATTGCAGCTTGAAGGTAACGTTTCTTCTTGAGAAACTGCATCGCGTCGTCATAGTTTGTGCTGCTGGCTGCTGGTTTTGTTTGTCCTCCTTGAAGAGTTTCAACTGACTCGAGTTCACTGTTGCCTTCTACGTCTAAGAGGCCTTGCTTGTCCACGATCTCAAAGGTGTACTGTGCCACCTTAGTATTTTCCTCAAAGGAGGGTAAAGTGGACAAGCAAGGAGGAGTTTGTTCAGTTGACTGCTTAAGACTCCGCTTGGGTACTTTCTTCAGAAGTAGCTTAGGAGAAGTTGTTTCTTCCGAAGAGACGTCGCCATCTTGGTGTTGGTTAGCAGTTTCTTCAGGAAGGTCCACAGAGTAGTCAGCAATCACGTACTCATGTTTGACTTTGGAGGACACAGCATATAGAGAAAGACTTCCCTTTTGCTCCTCTTTCTCTTCTGTTTCTACCACGGTAAAAGTGTGCCCTTCTGTCTGGGCAGTAGTGGAAGCTCCTGAACTCTTGTCTGTACACTTTTGGCGCTTTTTCTTGGGCAGTGAGCACTCTTTGGCAACAAAGGGGGGCCCTAAAGAGTCTGCTTCACGTAAAGATCCGACTTTACCGGCAGTCTTGTTCGCCTTTCGCTCTCTGTTCTCGTGACACATTCTTCTGTGCTTTAAAACCCGGTCTGTTCTGGAAAAGTACTGCAGAAAGAGGACACAATGCATTTATTTTATACATGAACCTTCATTACTGGCTCTAATATTGAGTTCACAATTTTACTCTTCCTGTCTACTCTCTACACCCATAACGATCTTTAATATGAGCACTAGTGACAGTGTTTTCACACCAAATGTGTTTTTAATCACACAATCTTTTTTAGGACGGCAAAAAAAGCTGAATGCCAAAAACACCATTTAACCAGACTAAGTTTTAAGCAGACTCTTTTTAGTCTAAAGGTCTTAAACACAGTATTTAGAGGTTTAATGCACTCAACAAATTCACAGAAGCTGAACTACTTAAAAAATATCTTGTGTAATAACTGTTTAGCAGGCATTCCTATCATTATAAGCAAATTGTTAACATGTCAGCAAATAATTTTAGCCTGACTAAGCAATCAATGACAGTTTACACTGCAATATTGAGTGTTTGTATTCTTTTGTGATAAGTCAGTTCACAGAGTCAAAATAAAAGACAGAAGATCATCCTGTCTCTACCTGTGTTTTCTTGAAATAGGGTGGCGTTTACACAGTGCATTTATAGTCTTACTGACCACTGAAAGCGCTTTACAATCCTCATCCTTTTTCAACACATATTCGTACATGTTTTATATTACAGCCAACCACTGTACCACAAACTATTCAAATACACAAATACATCCACACACAGGAGATCTTCACACTTGTAGTTCATCTGTTCAACTGATGAGTTTGATATGTTCACATATTCTGCTTTCTTTTCAAAGAAAATTGCAAGCTAGCTCCAAATGAACTAAAACGCGATACTAAAAACTACGTGAGAATGATGAGTCCACTTACTGGCCAGAAACACAGGAAGGTGCTTAAGGTCTGGACAACTGGACTACACTGAAAATTTACTCCTAAAGCCATGATAATAATTTCCCCCAGGGATTAATAAAGTATTCTGATTCTGATTCTGATTCTGATGATTATACGAGATGGTCAAGTTGTCATCCCTATTATACTGTTTTGAAATCCACCTGAAGTTTGGGTTGCATGGAAATGGCAATATTGTACAGATTGTGTACTCTGCCACATCCCAGAATGCAAGAAGGGATTTAGCTAGAACCTCCCACTGACCACCCTTTTCAAAGGGTCTCGGTGTGGTTGTCAGCAGCCGAGCACACATCTTGACATCTGCACAAATGAACCGCACTAAGGGGGAAAATGAGCCAGAGCTCAATTTAAAGGGACCACAGTGTCGTTGTGAAATAACCCAAAGAAAACTAGTTCACAAATTTCTTTTTCAAAGTTAGTGAACAGAAGACCAAAAAAACCCAACACATTTTAATTCCCCTTTGTCCGAACCAAAATGACTGAACTACAGGTTTGAAATAGACCTTTCATGTCTTTCTAATTAAAATATTTACCAATTTTGGAGCTTACGAATACACTAATTTACAAGCAATCAGAAGAATAGTACCTGGTGACAATAGTCACATTGGTAGGGCTTCTCTCCACTGTGAGTCCTTTTGTGCCTCTCCATGTGGTACTTCTGGATGAACCTCATCCCACACTCATCACAGCGAAAAGGCTTCTCACCTAGAGACAAGTATTTAAAAAGAAAAAAGTTCAGGCTAACATAACAATAATTCTAAAAACAATTGAGAATTTTGCCAAACTGTTTGTTACTCACCGGTGTGGATCTTCTCATGTCTCTGGAGAAGATACTTCTGAATAAAGCGCATGTCACACTGGCTGCACTGAAACGGCTTCTCACCTAGGTTTTCAGTAACATATATGAAAACCAGTTGTTTTTAGTTTTTAGCTTCTTTTGATGACTAAAAGATCCCCTACTGTCAACATATCTAATTTCACAGCAACATGTTTTACATATTTGTATACATGCCAGACTTATTCATACCAGTGTGAATGAAGACATGCCTCTGTAGATGGTAGTTGGTTCTGAACGCAGCATTACAGTGAGTACAGACGTGACACTTGGGGTTTGGTATGCCCAATGAGCCATCGTCATTGATGCTGAGAATCTACAAAGGGGGTAAAAAAGAACACATGTAGTGTTGAATTTTCACAACCGTCCCTGGTATTTTAAAAATATAAAAATTCCACAGATGGAATTCACCTTTGCTGGTGATCGCTGCTTCCTTTTTTTCTTCTTGGGACACATTGTCAGATCCTTGATTGCCTTTTTGTCTTTCTTTATATAGACCGCTGGCTCAGACAACTTCAGCTCCTGCTTGATGCTCAACTGTAAAGGTAGGACCATAGTCATTTATACATTGAATATCGCACATGACCTACTTTAAGGGCCACCCAGCCAGCTACCACTTTATCCAGGTCAGACAGGTGCAACTGGGCAAGCAGAGCATAATCAACCAATGTGAGGGCATCTCACCATACAGTTGCCTCAGGCATAAAATACCAGAGGGAAGCCTCAGCCCCTTACAACCCAGAACAGGCTGAGAGATTACATCTGCCAGGTGGCCAGGGACAGCGTTTTCAAATCCTCTGACTGGCATTTTAAAATGTATGTAGCCACTTTTCAGCTTTCTGAAAATAACCTGTCTGTAATAACTATAGACAGACAAACAACACAAACCATACAATTCCAGCTTTTAAAGTTCCCAAGGAGAAGCAATGCTTTAAACCTGTCCCTGAGGGTGAATTCAGATTATCCTCATTATGCTGTATTCTTAGAATAGAAATTACTATTTTAAAGTTCACATTTGCTGCAAGTTTATTCTGATTCAGAAGATCAGAGTGTACAAATATATTGTTTCTGAATATGAACAAGTGGGTCAAAGTGACAGAAAAAAATTTAATTAAAATCTCTGTCATTCATTAAAAAAAAAAAAAACACTAACGCGAGCTCCCTATTTTTGACCAATTTTTAAGAAAATTCCGGCACCTAAAAATAACTAGTGTGAAAGTAGTTTGCAGTATTAGCAGCTACCTAACAGTACTTTTTGTGTGTTAAAAGAACTGATTGCACTGAACAGTCCAAAATGTCAGGCTAAGTCAACATAACATGCATAAAAGCAAACTCACTCTGATCAAGTGGAGACTGTAGATGCACTCACAGAAATGAGCTTATCAAAATCTGATCTACTTCTAAACCAGCGTGAACTCACTGGCATATGAAGCAAGCAGGGAAACTTATTCGTGAGTTTTAGGGGGAAATGCTCTCCCACCTCGGCTCCTCCCTCCTCTTCTCCTCCACCGCTATTCTTCGTCATCTCCTCCTGCATCATCAGCTGCTCTGGAGGGACCAGGTCGTGAGTGACCAGCGAGCTTCGAGTCAAGTCCTCGTCGTCGTCTTCGTCGTCGTCATCCTCGGCCAGCAGAGGGTGGTTAGCCAGCGATCGTTCCCCGAGTGTCATCACCACCAGTCCTCCTCCGCTGCCCAGGCCAACTCTCCCTCCTCCGTCTATTCCTCCGCTGCTGCACTTCAGCAGCATGCCTTCCAGTTTGTCCTCAGTGTTCATCTTACATAGAGTAGCTCTTGAGTCTATAACATAAAAACAAAGAAACACTGTTACAAAAAAACAAATGTAAAATGTACAAATTGAGTAAAATGTATTTAAACTCCCCCAAAAAGGGACATAATACAACTGTAAACTATCATGGATGAAATAATTATATTCACCAAGATCCCTTTTGTGGCCATGAAGGCTCACTTTCCCAAGCATGGATTAAGTCTATTTACAGATTAGAACTTGCTGCATGTGAGTAACTTTTAACTGAGTTTCCCATAAGTCATGGTTACTTATTTTTAAACGAGCAAATCGGCAGCTCTTTTCAATCCCCACAACACTGAACCAAAAATAAATATGAAAGAATATAAAAATAAACACCCATGGTGGTATGAAGCCTGGCAACCAACAAAACGAGCTTTAGGGCCCCATTTATAAAACTATCTTAAGTATGCTTAAAGAGAAAAACCTGTTAAAAACAAAACCTTACCACGCACAGAAGTGACCATACCTCAAATCTTAAGTCTAGACTGGAGCGATTTTCAAAGCCACTGGTGTACTTTACAGTTCTGTAATTCTATCCAACCCCAGTCAGTGCAGGAGCAACACATTTCCAGGCTGCTTGTTTGGATTCCTCCACCCGCTATTTAGTCCACTGGATAATATTTGTTGTCTGGATTCACTCTCCTTAACCACCACTATGAGCCTGTTCTCCAAAGAGTTTGCTTTTACCTTTTGCTTCACGGCTATCTCTGATATTTGTAATAGGAGACCCCCCCAGGCCACTGCTGGTAATTTAAGATGACTTCAGTTTCATAGATTACAGAAAAAAATGAGTTATTTATGGGTTTATTAGAAACTGCTTAAGCAAGGCTTTTTGTGTTAAGCATCTTTTATGAATCAGACATAAGTTCACTATTAGGAATGATCCAAAAAAAAAAAATCAACATTAATTTAAAAAACATTTTTGCATATTAAGCCTGAGGATAGGTAGCAAGACTGTTGTTCTACATAGTCACTTATATTTCAGATCCCACTGGTTTTTATTCACTAAAAAACACACACACGCCTAACCAAGCTCTTTAAAAGTAACAGCTACCTCACCAAATTTAAGACTTATGACCTTAAATTTAATTAAGAAGAGCGATTGTGTGTGTGTGTGTGTGTGTG